GGGTGGAACACTCTGTAAACATCTGTTAAGTTCATTTGTTCAAGAGTTTGATTGAGTTCTAGTATTTCGTTGCTTGTCGTTTGTCTAGTTGATTTATCTATTTGTGACAATGGGGTATTCAGGTCCCCCAGTACTATTGTATTAGTGGTTATATGAGTTTTCATGTTTTTGTTAATATTTGTTTTATTTAGTTGGGCGCACTAATGTTTTGGTGGATTTATATTGATAATTGTCATCTCTTCCTCTTGGATTGTTCCCTTTACAAGGATGTAGTGTCCTTCCTTGTCTCTTAATCAGTGTTGGTGTGAAATCCACTTGATCTGCAAAGAGGATAGCTACTCTTGCTTTTTTTCCAGGTTCTTGTTGCATGGAGTATTGTTTTCCACCCTTTAACTTTCAGTTCATGAGTTTCTTTTTTATTAAGTGTGTTTCTTTTGTGCAGCATATTGTTGGATCTTGCTTCTTGACCCATTCTGCCAGTCTGTTTCTTTTGATTGGTGAATTGAGACCATTAACCTTGATGGTTATAACTGATACCTATTGACTTATCATTGTCATGAATTTTTCTTTTTGTTGGATTCTCCCCCTTTGCATTTAGTTTCTTGCCATGCTGGGTGGATTCATTCTGCAGGGCTTCCTGGGATTGTGATCCTAGTTGTCTTTCCCTAGGATATTGTCTATGATGTTTTGCAGTGCTGGTTTGGTATCCAGGAAGTTCCTAACGTGTGCTTTGTCATGAAAGCATCTCATTTCTCCATGAAATTTGAAAGATAGTTTTGCAGGTTACATCAATTTGGGTTGGAGGCTGTTTTCCTTTAGGGCTTGAAATATGTGACTCTAAGCTCTTCTTGCCTTGAGGGTTTGTGTTGAAAAGTCTGTTGTGATTCTGATGAGCTTTCCTTTGTATGTGATTTGTTTTTTTCCTCTAACTGCTTGTAGAATTTTCTATTGTGTTTTTGGAATCTTAAGAATTATTTGCCTATGTGTAGGTTTTTTTGATCAAGGTTAGTTTGAGTCCTGTATGCCTAACTTATCTGTATGTGAAGTTCTTTTCCCCTGCTTGGGAAGTTTTCTGCCATCACTTCTGTGAACCATTTTTTTATGTCATCTGCACTCTCTCCTGTTTCTTCCTTGACTCTGATCAGTCTTATGTGATTCATCTTTGCATCATCTATGAGCTCCTGGATTGATTTCTTGTGGCCCCTTACTATTAAAGAAATTTTTCTTTTCCTGGTCACTAGTTACAGTCTTATCTTCTATGTCTGAAATTCTGTCATCACATTGGCTCATTCTGCTCTGTAAGCATTCCGTGGAGTTTTTAATCTCCTGGAAATCTGTTTGCATCTGTTTTATGGATTCCATTTGTTTCCTGTGTTGGGATTCCATCATGTTCCTCAGCTCCTCTATTTTTTTATTTGTCCTCTCTGGATTTATTAATGATGTCTTGCACTATGGGCACAATCTCTGCTGTTATCTGAGAAATTATTTCTGATTTCATTTTTTCCAGATCCTCTTTCATTGCCAGTTCAGGGAGTCTAGGTGGTTTAGTATCAGATTTTTCCATCTCATTTCCCTTGGGCTTGGTTTAGGTGATCTGGGAGTCTAGTTTTGAGACTTGTTTACATGTTTTGTCATTTCAATGGGATTGGGGGGGTTTGTGCTGCTGGCGCCTGCAATGCTCACCTCCTTGGTGCTGGGCGGGGCTCTGCTCCTCCGTGCTGGGGGTGGTGGTACAGCAGTCTAAAAGGCTCAGCTGCTCGGTGCTGGGGGCATTTGCTCCTCTGAGCTGGGAGTGGTGGTATGGGTGGCCAAAAGGCTCAGCTGCTTGATGCTGGGGGCCTCTTTTCCTCTCTAATTGCCCATTGTTGCAAAGGGAGTCTCTTTCCTAAACAGAGAGTGGCTGAATGCAGCACAGTTAGTACCAGCCAGATGCAATGGATGGTAACTTGTTAGTCATATGTACTCACAGTCCAGAGGAGAGGACAGCACAGGCCATGCAAAATCACACAGGGAGCACTCAAGAGCAGAGGGAACCAGAAGAGGCTGCGGGATCCAAGCTTTGATTAGAATGTATATTTTTTACAAGTACCTAGTATATTTTATTTTCAGGTCCTCAGACCATACTTTTCAAAACTGTGTACTAGATCTCATATTGTTATTATTTTTTTGGTACTGGGAATTGAACTTGGGTCCTTGCACCTGCGCAGCAGAGCTCATATTATTTTAATTACATGAAGTTTATTAATTACAAAAAACTCTGAAATTGTATTTCCCTTCATATGATACGGTTTTATAAGGTCCTTTGTTATAGGTATGTGTAACATTTCTTCTTTGTTTTCAGTAATGGTTTGCATTGGAGGTTCCATCTTTACTACTGACTTATCAGCATTGTGTTTTCATTATTCTTTGTATAATGATGCTCTGAGGTGCTTTGGGCTCTAGGACTGATTGCATAGAGAGCAATTTCTTTTTTTTTTTTTTTTGAGATGGTGTCCTGCTGTGCAGTTCAGACTGGTCTTGCTTGATCTCACTATGAAGTTCAGGCTCTCCTCAAACTTGCAGTAATCATTCTGCCTCAGTGTCCTGAGTGCTGGGATTACAGGCATGCGCCGCTACATCTGGCACATAGAGAACAATTTCTTAGATGAAGATTGATCTAGGGAGGTGGCTAACATAAGATTAAGCATATATTGAATGCTTACTCTGTGCCACAGCTGTTCTAAGTCCTCTACATCATATATATATATATACAGTCTTCTACCTTGTAGAGAAATTTTCTTGTAGAGAAATTCTCTTAATGTGTGAATAGAATTCCTATTAATTTCAGTGACCAATTTTTTATTTAAATTTCTTTAAAAGAAATACAATCATTTCAGTAGTTGGCTTTTACTGTCATAATACAACCCCCCAAATGGGCATTTTCTTTTTATTAATTGTACCACCAGAAGTCTGTTCTGCTATTGTCTTTGTACCTGTTACTCATTAAAACTATACACATAGAAAAACATATCCATGAGACTCATTAACTCAACCCTAAATGTAAAACAACAACAGTAGTAAGGCTTTGATACAAATACAATAATGACAATAGAAATGAAAGAGAGCAATGCAGATGTTCTTTGCCTGTGTATAAGTTGACATTATAGAGGCTGTAATGTATAAGACTCACTCCTGTGAGTTAGCAAACTGAAAGTGCTTGGAGAGAACTTAACCATCAGTAGTTAATCTAATTGTAATAATGAACACCTGCCTGATTGGTCACTCTTGTATTGATTAGACTTAAGGAATTCAAATAGATCATTGAAATGTGAATAAATGGTTTATAACCTAAAATACAGATATTAATAAAACTATTTATAAGGGAGAATTTTTTGTAACAAGTTATGTGGTTTGGGATATGACAATTAATATATTTTTGATTTTTGTAACAATTTCATGAAGGAGATACTCTTATTCCATTTTTATAGGACATTGAGGTAGAGAAGTCAAGTAATTTGTCTAGTAATTAACAATTGGTAAGTAGTGGAACTGGTCAAAAACTGCATTTTCTCTACTAGGCAATGTATTATGTAAAGGGCTTCTGTTATTGCTTTTAAAGACTGGTTTTTGTTACATATTGAAGCTAGTCACCGCCATCATTCCTTTCTGTCTTAAGTTTGTTAAGATTTTATTTTGACTGGAATTTAATTTAATGTGATTTAATTATAGACTTTAAAACCAATGTTAGACTTTTTGTTTTTGTTCTCCCTTGCCCCTTTTCCTAAAGGGCTTTCTGCGCTCCAGGATATTGAGACAGGAGTGCAGCATATTTTAGCAGACATGATTGCTAAAGACAAAGACACGCTTGACTTCATTCGGAAATTGTGAGTAACTCTTTATAGAGTTTTCTGCTTTGTGGACTCGTGCTGTTAAGGGTCACGTGGTTAGTGCTAATACCAGTATTCATTAAAAACTTTGTATTCAGAATTTTTTTTTAAGTAGCAGAACTCTTTGTTCAAACAACAGAACCCTAATATATAAAACAGATAAAAGAAAAGTTGTTTTAATTGAATTCTGAGCAGGGAGCCTGGAACTTTGCCTCCTCATCTTCTTTCCACTGAGGCACCTCAGTGGAGGGCTCGGATGCACAGAGTTTAAAAACCACTGCTTTTCACAGTTTATCCCAAGGAGAGACTCATGTTCATTTAGAGTAGTGCCATTGTTTTTTAAACATGTTAAGTGTGATATGTGTGCTTAATTTATAATATTTCTATAATATTTCATTTTTGGTGTTTACCTGTGATTGGGTTGATTTAGAATGGTGATATCAGGTATGGATAAGAGAGCTGGCATCAAAATGAACTTCAGCTATTGCAGAGAGCAGCTTATCCACGACATCACATTTTTGAATTTTCAGGTTGATTAAAGCTCTTTGCTGGATCTACTTGGGCTTATAGATTTATGCCACATTAAAAAAAACCTTTAAAAAAACCCCTTTAAAACCTTGTTTTTATGTACTCTGTCATTTTTCTTCTTTGTTAGAAGAGAAGACAGGTTTCTACTAGATCTCTCCCTCCCTTCCCCCACATCTCGGCTGTGGGACCATGCAAAGCAGAGGAAATGTGATGAACCAGTTGACATTATTTCTTGTTAGGGTTTTTGAGTAATTAATACAAGGGAAAGACCTGTTCTATATTCTCAGTGGCCCTAGCAGGAGTGAGATGAAGTGGAATAATTGCTCGGGTTGAAAAATGTATGTTTTTAAGTAATTATGGTGCTGAAATTTGTTTCACTTCTACAGATTGCTTTTGAAAGCTGTCCTAGTACATCCTTTTGTTTCACTTTTTTTTTTAGCTTTTAATTGACTGTGACTGCCTAATTTAGAGAAGGATCATATTTAGACTAGTGTTATTGGTCTGATTCCTTAGATAGTTTTGATCTCATTCATAACTGTAGATTGTATCTGAATTTATTTGGGCATGGCGGGGAGGTTGGGTTGATGTATAAGCAGATCTGTAGGACCTATGCTAGCATGTTAGGCAGAGTCCTTTTGATGAGTTAATAACATCATTTTCATATTGGAACATCATTAAACAAATATCATTTGGTAATGGCTTAACTTTTTTGCTGTCCTTATTTCCATATAACATTTTTTAACAAACTTGAAGTACTTGTTAATAACTACTTGTGTTTTGAATATTTGTGTATCTGAGCAGGTGCCAAAATAGATACATTTGTATTCAGTCATCTCTGGCCAAAGTATCCTCAAAGAAAGTAAATGAGAAAGATGTTGATAAGTTTCAACTATACCAGAACTTTTCATGCAACATAAGAAACATTCAGCACCATCAGGTAAATAAGGAAATTGCTTATGTATACTGATAGTAGTAACACGACAATAGTTTGGATTTGAAGAATTTTATGTCAAATATTTTCTTGTTTTTAAACATAAAATTATTACGGGATTGTCATAGTCTCCTAATTTCACAAATTCTAAACTGAAGACTCAGAGAAGTTTGTAAGTGCCACTGAGAATTTTTAGCAGGTATCTTGTTTCCTGGTTGGTGATCTTTCTTGCTAAGCATGTGCTTCCTCATATACTTGGATTTGAGCTCAATTCTAAGTGTTTTCCACATGCAATATCAATCAGATGATTTAGAATAAAGTGTAAAAGATCTCATTTAGTTGGTTTGTCCATAGTCACTGTATCTGAGTCTTCTAATTTTTCAGTGTCTTAATTTTTTTCTGAAATGTAGTGATAGGCTATATGTACAGTATAGAATGTGACTTTTAAATAATAAAGGGGAGGGGGAAAAAGTTACAAATAAAAAATACAATAGTGCTGGCTTTTGTATTTATATATGTAGTTACTTTAACCAGTATTCTTTATTTCTTTGTATGGCTTTGAGTCATTGCCCAGTGTCTTTTCATTGCAGCCTTAAGGACTTTTCTGTACTATTTTTTTCTTTTTTTGGTACTGGGGATCGAACTTGGGTCCTTGCGCTCGCACAGCAGGCACAGGTGGCAAAACCACTGAGCTAAATCCCCGGCCCAGATGTTTAGAATTTTTTTTTTTTTTGGTAGCCAGGATCGAATTCGGGTCCTTTTGCTTGCGGGGGCAGGCGGCGGAACCAGTGAGCTAAATCTCCGGCCTTCTCTGTACTATTTTCAGTAGGATAGGTTTCCTTGAGACAAGCTCCCTTAGTTTTTGTTTATCTTGGAAGTCTTAATTTCTCCTATTATTTAGAAAAAAAATTAACTATAGTAAAATTCACATAAAAAATATGCTCTTAAACTAAGTGTACAGTGCAGTGGTACCTTGGTTCATGAACTTGATTCTTTCCATGATTCTGATCGCAGAGCTTGTTCCATGACTGTGGTTGCAACCAGAATATGCTTGCAATTGCTTGTATATGCTTGCGAGTTCATTCTACCAAACTCGTGGAACAAATTCTGCAACTAGAATCATGGAAAGAATTAAGTTCTTGAACCGAGGTACCATTGTATAGTCCTCATTGTTGTGTAGCCAATCTCTAAAACTTGATTTTGCAGATAGGGTCTCACTATGTAGCTCAGGCTGGCCTCAAACTCATGGTAATCTTCCTGCCTCAGCTTCCTGAGTGCTGGGATTACAGGCCTGTGCCATCATACTTGGTTTAAAATTCCTTTTGCAGAGTTTTGATGTTATAGTTTGTTCCCTTTTAAAAAAAATCTATTGGAGCTTGGAAAACAAGTAAATTCTTGTATTAAAACCAGTATATTGGTCACCTTTTCATCATTGTGACTAAATACCTGAGAAAAACATCTAAGAAGAGGAAAGATTTATTTTGGCTCATGGTTTCAGAGGTTCCACTCTGTGGTCATGGGCTCCATTACTTTTAGGCCTGTAGTGAGTCTGAAAGATGGCAGAAAGATGTGACGGAGGAAGGTTCCTAACCTAATAGCAACCAGTTAAGCAGAGAGAAAAGGGAAAGAGCCAGAGAAGAAGGGGGCCAGGGACCAGATATAGTTCCCAAAGTTATGGTTCATTCCCTTCAACTAGGCCCCACTTCCTGTTTCTGTCACTTCCCTATAATGCCATCAAATTATGATCTCATCCATGTACTATTCCCCTGATGAAGTTGAGAACTGTTATGATCCAGTCCCCTTCCAGAAACCTGTCCTAAAAAAACCAAAAAGCCCATGAGCTTTTGAACACATGAGTTTTTGATGGACATTTAGACCTGAACTGTAACAAACAGCCCAACCAAATCTTTGCATGAAAATATTTTTTAGGGTTTAGCATGTTATTTATTTTTATTTATATTAATTAATTAATTATTTTTTGATACAGGGTCTCACTATGTAGATCAGGCTGGCCTTGAGCTCACTGTGTAGTCCAGGCTGGTTTTGAAATCATGGTGATCCCTCTGCTTCAGCTTCTGAGTGCTAGGGTTACAGGCATGTACCACCATGCCTTGGTGGTCTTAGCATTTTACACTTGATCTTAGCCAAAAGGCCTAAAAGCAATGGTTTTATCATTTTAAATAGTGTGTTTGGCACATGTAGCATATGATTGACATAGACTCCTGCAGCTACTGCTGCTTCTTGATTGTTTTGTAGACTGGAGGAATAATGTGCTGGGTCACAAAGATAGCTTCCCCATTCCTATAGTGTTGAGACCTCATATCCCCAGCTCTCAACCCTGTTTTTCAGTCCCTGTGCTAATGTATCAGCATATATTTCCTCAGAAAACGATGAAAGTTAGTAGTAAAAGAATAACATTGCCTGGAATGTCTTCATGTACTGTGGAGATAAGTTTTACACCTGTCTACTGACTTCTTCTGGCTGCATTTTGTTTTCTTTCTCCAAATTGGCCCTTAGTGAGGTCTTTACTATGCCATGAATATGTAAGATGGCCTTCACATCCTCCTAGGAGACCAGTCTTTCCTGTTCTTGTGTTTTGCCTCTTTCACAGATGTCCCTCTTCCAGTGCCTTTTACATTACCTATTTCCTGTCCATTGCTGTCATCCACGGTAATTCCACTTTACCCTACTACTCACTTTATCTTCAGTTTCTGTCTCAAACTGTTATTTCCCACTTGGAAGAACTTACCTTCTGTTCCTAGTTTTTTGAGTGTTTTTATCATGAAGTGCTGCTGGATGTTGTCAGATGTTGTTTCTGAATCTTTTGAGGTGATCATGTGACTTGTTTTTTTATTCAGTTGATATAATCTATTACATTACTTGCTTTTTCGGATGTTGAACCAACTGGACATTCCTGGAATAAATCTTATGCTATCTTGGTGTATGACTTTTTTTTTTTTTTTTTGGTACCAGGGATGGTGTATGGCTTTTTATATTTTTCTGGCTTTGTGTTGGTAGTATTTTGCTGAGGATTTTCATCTGTAGTCCTAATAAGACTTTGTAGTTTTCTTGTGAAGTCTTGCTGGTTTTGAATCAAGGTTATACAGACCTCATAGTGAGTTGAGAAGTGTTCTCTTCTCTTATAGTTTTGGAAATTTTGATGAATGACAATGATTTCTTCTTCAAATAGTAGAATTCAAGGAGGGAGCTGCCTGAGCTTGGACATTTTTTCATGGGCATTTTTTAATGTATGTGTGTGTATATCTTTTTTTTTTTTAGGACTTTGTCTATTTTATCTAAGTTCTCTAACTTGGGATAATTGTTCCAAGTATTCTCTTATGACCTTTCATTTCTATAAGATCCATGTTGTAATGGCCTCTCTTTTGCTCCTGATTTTTATTTTAACTTTCCTCTTTTCTTCTTGGTTAGTCTAGCAAAAGGTCCATTGGTTTTCTTGCTATTTTCAAAAAACCCAGCTTTTAATTTTTGAGGATATTTTCTCTTGGTTTTCTATTTTCTGTTAATTTCACTTTGTTCTTTATTATTTCCTTGCTTCTGCTTGTTTGAAGCTTTGTCCTTCTCAAAGGAGTGTTTTTAATGTGTTTTAAAAGAATTGGTCTTTTAATACAATATTACTTAAGAGCAGGATCTGAGTTTAAATTCCTCCTTTGATACTTGCTAGCTTTGGGAAAGTTAGTCACAGAAAAATTATTATATCAAATGAGCACATTACATAGAAGAGGAAGACTGCCATGAGTTTGTGGCTGGCATGGACTATATAATGAGTTTGAGGCCAGCCTGGACTACATTGCAAGACCCTGTCTCAAAAAAAAAGAAAAATTCTGAGCCCACAGACTAGACAAGATTTGCAACGCTCACCCTCCTGAGCTGAAAAAATGTATGGACAAGAAGTTCATCATTGAAATTAAACGGTGCCAGACATGTCCAAGGAATATTGCAAGGGTTTGATCTCTTTGTGAATCTTGTGATAGACGAATATGTGAGATGGCAACTAGAGGACAACAGGACAATACTGGAATGGTGGTAATACTGGGAAGTAGGATAATCATGTTGGAAGCCTTGGAAAGAGTTTAAATGATGACTGACTGTTCAGCAGAGAAATCCATGCCCCTCTCCAAAGGGCTAGTTTCACGATGACTGAAAATTTGGTCATATACATTATCATATTAAATTTTTTGTTAAATAAACTTTTGTAACAGTAAACAAAAAGATAATGCATTCAAAGTATGTACTCAGGTAAGTTTTACAATTACTAAATGCTCAGTGGATGGTAAAAATTAGTAGCTAGTAGAGATTTATCTTAGGACTTTATATGTTTACATATTTATCTTAGTACAAATAATCTTTTCACTGATATAAAAAGTATCCCCTCTCAACTCTAGATGATCAGAATTTTTAGTTAGTAGAGTCTGACATTGAAATTTTTAGATCACAAAAGTCTTTGTGAATGTGATTGATAGATTGGCTTTGTTCTCACATTCTCAAAAAACACTTTATGGTTTTCTCTATGAAGGAGATAGGTTACTTGAAAAAAACTATACAGATCATTATTTTTGCATACATTCTTGGTAAATAAAATAAAAAGTTGATACGGTTCTCAACTAGATAGCTGCCTCATCTGTTTCATAAATATTGACTACATTTATCACTTACATATTTTGTGGATTAGTCTTTACCATATGTTTGTTTTCAGATTTTAGCAATTAACCGTGGAGAGAATTTGAAGATACTGACAGTCAAGGTCAACATTTCTGATGGAATAAAGAATGAATTCTGTAGGTGGTGCATCCAAAACAGGTAAAATACCATTCTGATATCATTTTGTTCTGATATGGAAAGATATCTATTATGTATATTAAAAAGTATGTATATAATTTATATAATGTACATAATGTCCTTTTTGCATTTAGAAACTATATTTGTTATGTATGTTTAAGTAGAAAATATCTAGGAGGTGCCATAAGAAATTATTCATAATGATTATCTCTGGGAAGAGGAACTTTTTACTTTAATATAGACATGTGGTGGGTAACATTTCAGTCAAGGATTAGTGATGAACTGTGTATATGACATTAGTTTCATAAGATTATTACGGAGCTGAAAAGTTTTTCTTGCTCACTGAACACATTGTGGAATAAGAGGTAAGAGAAAAAGTCACTGCAGAAAGAGAAGAGCCACCAAGGAAGGGAATAAGAAGGAAGAGGAGGGGATATAAGTGGACAGTGGATATTATACACATTGAAACCTCCCCCCAATATGATCCTATGGAGAAGGATAGGGCAAGAGAGGGTAGAAGGGTGTTTAAAATGACCAAAGTATGTTATATTATATGCATTGGCCAAAAGGAAGTTCATTAATCTGTATAACTAATAAAAAATGACTGGGTGGGTGGAGCAGAACCACCAAGAAAATTCACACTGAAAGGTTTACCTGAAGTTTTGCAGACTGCAAAAGGCTCCTTCAAAAGTTTGAAAGCACAGACCCCAACACTAAAGGTTTTTATTAATAGACGGGAATGCTTATGGAACATTATCTGTTTCCAAGCAAATCTTTGATGAACGGAAAAGAAACGAACTTAGCAGACCACTATAGCCATGTTTCTGAAAAGCTGACTCTTTCTCAGGAAGAGCCTGCCCAGGTCCTTTGGGAGGATTCCAGGCGGAGGCCTTGTCATCACAGCACTGGCTCCCATGTGTTCCTCACTTGAGGTAGTGAGATGAGATGTCCAGGTGAAACCTGTGCAGCCTTAGGCTAGTGTGTGTGAGTGTGTGTGAGTGTGTGTGTGTGTGTCTCAGTTTTTTTTTGGTGAAACCTGTGCAGCCTTAGGCTAGTGTGTGTGTGTGTGTGTGTGTGTGTGTCTCAGGTTTTTTTTGGTGAAACCTGTGCAGCCTTAGGCTAGTGTGTGCGTGTGTGTGTGTGTGCGCGTGCGCGCTTGTGTTTGTGTTTCAGTTTTTTTTTGTTTGTTTGTTTTTAGTACCAGGGATTGAACTCAGGACTTTGTGCTTGCGAGGTAGGTGCGGAGCCACTGAGCTAAATCCCCAGCCCTGTGTCTGTTTTTAACAAAAAAGTTTAAAAAGTGAAAATAATTTAAATAGAAAAAGCTTATGGAATAAAAATATAAAAAAAAACTTTGTACTGCTATACATACAATGTGTTTTAAGCTAACCTAATACAAAAATAATGAAAGTTAAAATTAAGTTTATAAAGTAAAATAGTTATAGTAGGCTAATTTATTGAGGAAAGAAAAGAATTAAAATGTAGTCCAGACTAAGTATGCAGAGTTTGTGAAGTCTGTAGTTGTTTAAAGCCTCCACATGCACTCTCAGCTCACTGATTCACCCAGAGCAGGGTCCCATCCTGCAAACTCCGTTTATGCCAAGTGTTCTATACAGGTGTGCTTACTCACACATGCATTCATTTATTCATTCATTCTAGTCCTAGGAATTTAACCTAGGGAGTACTGTGCTCCATTCCCAACCTTTAAAGGTTTTTAAAAATTTTGATACATGGCCCTACTCAATTGCCCAGGTTGGGCTCGAACCTGTGATTCTTCTGCCTCAGCTTCCCAGAGTGTTAGGAATACACATGTGTGCCATCATGACTGACTCAGTTTTAAATCTTGTATACTGTGGTTTTGCCATATCTTTTCTATGTTTAGATACACAGATACTTACATTTTGTTACAGTTGCCTACAGTATTCCATACAGTGGCATCTGCTGCACAGGTCTGTAGCCTAGGAGCAAGAGGCTATACACTCTGTAGGCTAGCAGAGTAGTAGGTTATGCCATCCAGATTTGTGTAAGCACACTCTTAGGTCTGAGCTACAAAATCGCTTACTAATGCACTTTTCAGGACTTACCTCCATTAATAGGCAATGCATGACCTTTTCTGTACTATTTGAATTGTTTATAAAGTGTATGTTTTTAAAAATGAATTAACAATAATATTGTACTGAAATATTTTACTCTGTAAGCATAACTGAGACAAAAATATAATTTATGAGATAAATCTTTAAACAAATTGTATGTTTAAAGATACAACTAGAATATTTTGCACATTAAGGATGATTGAAATGAACATTAGTTGAACATGGTGGCACACACTTAATCCCAGCCATGCGGATGGCCGAGACAGGACAATTCCAAGTATGAGTACGGCTTGGGTGAGTCAGCAACTTAGTGAGGGCTTGTCTCAAAATAGAGTTAAAAGCCGGGTGTGGTGGCATATGCCTGTAATCCCAGTACCCAGAAGGCTGAGGCAGGAAGATTGCTGTGAGTTTGAGTTCAGCCTGGGCTACATAGCAAGACCCTTTCTCAAAAGAAATAGTATATATAAAAAAGTACATAATAAGTTAGTTTCTCAGCCAGGTGTGGTGGCGAGTGCCTATGATCCTAGCACTCAGGAGGTTGAGCCAGGAGGATCATGGGTTCAGGGTTTGCCTGGGCTGTATTGGGAGTTCAGGGCCAGTCTGAGCTACATAACAAGACACTGTTTCAAAAAAGAAAATAAAAATAAATGAGATTCACTTTGATCCTTTCTCTAAAAGTTTCATAGAAAGAGGAAGATCCTAAGAAGCAGATAGATTTGAGTGTGAATTCCAGTTATATTACTTCCTACCCATGTGACTATGGATATGTTACTTAAATTCTTTCTTGCTTTTATTATCTTGAAAATGGTGAATACCTTCCTCATAAATTTGAGTGAGTTAAATTTGCCCCTGTGTAATTTTGTGGTATAATTCCTGGTTTTGAACCGACCTTTGATGGTGTCTATTGTTGTAGAGTTGTGGGATTATTGTGCTTATTCCCTCTTTAAAAATGTTTTAGTAAACTGGAGATAACATCTAGATTTATTTTCTATAAATATTCATAATTCTTAGTATTAGAGTTCGTCCCCAATATAGAACTACTAGTTATAGTTTTAACCTTATTTTTATGCTAGGTAAAAATCAAGGAATGATTTTTGTTACAGTAATTTAATTATTTCCTCTTGACTTCTCTGTATTTTATTTTATTTGGTTCTACTCCAGTTGAATAGTCAGTAATAATATTTACTCTACAAGATAACATGTTACATCACTGGTACAGTAATATAATTTTCAAATTTGCAAGTTTTTTTTTCATGTAGGTAATTCTAAGAGCTGAAAAACTCTGGGAACTAAAGGACTGTTCTCAGGGACTTTTTTTCTTTCCTTTAAACATATTAGAATGACTAGAGATACTTACTTGATAAATCTTCTTTAGTTTTTTACTCTTCATCACACTACTTCCACTCTTCTCCACCTTCACCTACTCATCCATTCAGGTTGTGTGTCAGCTGTTGGAGATTCACCTGAAAACGGCCCAGATACTCTGTTCTTGATGATAATGAAGTTTAATGAGAGTGACACTGAGAAAATAGTATGTTGACTTGCAAAGCAAAAGTACAGCATATGTGAAAAAATTTGTAACAGCCCTAATGTATTTGGCTTGTCATGTGTGTAGCTCAGAGACATACACACGTCTCTGAATGGACATGGGAGGAGAATGACAGGAAATGAAGATTGATAATGTCAGTATGCTCCAGTACATATCTAGCTTTCTAGGTATGCTGAGGATCTTGTTTTTTTGTCTTAGGGTGGTGGGAAGCCAATAAAAGTTTTCAAAAGAGGAGTGTTGTGATCAAATTGGATTTTAAGAAGATAATTCTGGCTGCAGTATAGGGAATTATTTGGCAAGAACCAAGAGTAGATGTGGGGGCAAGAGATGATGGTCGCTTTGAGGATGGTAGTAATAGGAAGTATGAAGTAGTCTACTGAGGTAGGACAAGCTGTCTGATTAAATGGTGGGTAGATTGGTGAGGGAGAGGTAAAGGGAAGCATGACATTTGTAAGGCTTAAATGGCAAGATAAATGATGCTACCATTTATTATCATTCTGTAAATACTATATAAATGACTATGCTACTATTTATTATCATTCTGTAAATACTATATAAACTATATAATTAGCACAGAATAAGTTAAATAGAAATTTTATTATCGAATTAGTAATAGTAAGAACTTATTGCTCATGTGTTAATATCAAAAGTAATACCTAGGAATAAATTCAGCAACTGAATAGTTTATTTGAAATTGTGTGCATCTAGTTTAAGAGGGTAAATATGAAGAAGATTTCTGAGCTTGTCAGATGCCATAATAGTTGTGTTTGTGAGAACGCTTCTAATCCAAGTTTTTGCATTTGCTCTTTAAACGAAAACACATGTGAGGGATGATCTCAGCAGGTCCTTATTCATGACTTGGATTGTATAATGATCAGAATCTGTCTTTTTGAGTTTGCAGATTTTTTTGTTGTTGACCTGATGAGTAAATTTATTTTCTCTGAAATTGTGCCTTTTTTGTGGTAGATTGAAGGGGAATTATCTCCTGTATCCAGTTTTTTCTTAAGTGTGGAAAAGTCCAAACAAGATGGAGAAAGCCTACCTTGGTCTCACGTAGAAGAAATTGGAAGAGCACATTCCTTTAGGGCATGGGTCTTACCAGTTGTTTCTAGTACTGTCTTGGCCCTTGTATGTATGTGAGTTTGTGACACCTACCTTAATTTTGTGCTTTGTTGTGCGCATCTCACATGGGATATGTTTTGCATTGTGGAATTTGGATTAAGTGAGGCACTTCATAGTTTGTTTTTTGGGTTTTTTTTTTTTTGGTACCAGGGATCGAACTCAGTGCCTTGCGCTTGCCAGGTAGGCACAGTACCACTGAGCTGCATCCCTGGCTCTCTAGCACTTCATAGTTTTATTCAGAGGTATTTAGCTATCAAGGTAGTGGAAGAATCAGGTTTTGAGATGATATCCTATAAGGCAAACTGTTTGTATTAGTTTAAACATATAAATAAGATTTTTGAGTTCACTGTACTAGTTCAGGTCCCTTGTGCCAAGTGCCATGAATAGATCCCAGGAAACCAGTGAAAGGGCAGAAATTATTGTTGGGTAAAGAATATAAAGGAATTTCTATAATGCAGAAAATGGATATGATTATAATGATTCAGGACTGAGTCCAGTGACCTAAAGGTAAGGTATGAATAAATGACCATCTTTGCATATAAAATAGACCCACAGTCCTCTGTTCCAGGGAGGGGAGCAAAACAGTCCAAGCCAAAGGAGGATCTTTGGGGGTTGAAGACCATTGGGGCCTCAAGAGTATGGAGGTAGAGAATCTTAAGGACTTTGAGCTTTTTCCTGCAAATAGTAAATTGTTGAGGCTGAAAAGGAATGACTTTAGCAGATTTATCAGATAAATACATTTAAAAAAATCCCTCCATTGAAATCTTCCTGCATCTGAGAACTATCTTCCTAGTTTATTGTCTTATAATCCAGAACTATCTCTTATTTTTAATTTTTTTCTCTTTTTGTTCTCTGAGACAGGGTCTCACTGTGTAGCCCAGGCTGGCCTCAAACTTGCTATGATCCTCCTATCTCAGCCTTTCAAGTGCTGGGATAACAGGTGTACATCACCATGCCCGGCTTATATTTTCTTTCTTAACTAGCTAATCTCTATAGCCTGGTGTATAAGAACCTGTATAATCTCTTCATTGCCATATTTTCTAGGTTCATATTTCCCTAACTTGATCCTACCACTTTATGACCTAGCAGTATAGTACTAATCTGCTTGTAGTTACTTGAATTTATCATGCTCTCTCATGCCTCTGAGCTTTTACATATGCTGTGTTTTCTTTCCAGAACAATTGTGTTCATTTGTCTTGCTTGGTAAGCCATAATTACTTTCAAAAACACGTATCAGATATTTTCTTCTGCGAAGTCTTCCTAAACATTGGATTTCCTAAGATGATGATGATGATGGTAGTGGTGGTGGTGGTGATGATAATAAGAGCAATGCTTAAATAAAATGTGCAAAAAACTGTATTGGCAACTACCGAAGTGGTGTTATTATTCCCATTTTACAGATATGGAAATAGTAGTACAGTACAGATGTATTTTAGTAAAATCCCCAAGGGGGAAAAAAAAAAATCCCCAAGAAAAAAGTAGAGCAGAATTTGAAGCAAGGCAGTCTGGCTCATATCTTGTTTATAACTAGTATGCTGTACTCCTATCACCCCTGCTTTTGAGTTCTGTATATCTTTATCTTTTACATATTTCTATTTTTACACTTATTTTGTGATACATTTGTTAAGACATTTGTCTCATTGAAAGGGAGACTTGTATGTTTAATTCTTACCCTGCTCCTTTGTACCTTTCTTTTTCTTATGAAGGTGACAGCAGGGAGTAGTAGTGATTGGGTGGAAGAAAGAATGTATATCCTACCTAAAAGCACATTCATTCAAGTTAAAAAACAAGGCTGTGTGTTGCTGAAGTAACCCCTTTGTGGAAAAGGCTCAGTTATTTGCTGTTATATAAGCTTTGGTATTCACATTGTAAATATTTAAATCTTTGCTGAAATTAGTTCATTTCCTAGCCTGAGATAAGTATGAGAGATGAGAGTACCCTTCAGGTAGATTAATGGTTTATTATAAGTTATTAATATTTTATTAATGGTTTCTATTCAAGACATAGTGAAAGGCAAAGACAGAAATGTAAGTAGATGAAAACACAAAAGGGGTAGGGCTGGATTTGTTCTTTTCCACTTGCATTTTTCTCTTCTCTTCTTTCTCCAGTGTCCACTAATGATTGGTTCTGTGGCATTTACATTGCCCAGTTTATATGCAGATGCTATCTGATACTATGCCCTGAGCAGTAAGTTCAAGAATGCTCAGAAGCAAGGTTAAAGCAGAGTTCCTCCTTTTCTCAGTCTCATTTGACTCTCAGGAAGAGAGAAGGAAATGGGAAGAGAATATAGTGCTCATCTTAGCCATAACAAAATACCATATACTGGTATTAACCAACTGGCTTAACCAATGGAAATTAACTTTCTTATGGTTCTGGCGGCTGGGAAGTCTGAGATCAAGGAGTTGACTGGTTCGTACCTGAGGAGGACTTTCTTCTGGATTGCAGGGTTCTTCCTGTGCTGCCCCGTGGTAGACAGGGAACGTGGGGAGAGAGTTCTCTGATGTCATAACGTCATCTAAACCTAATTATCTCCCAGACGCTCCACCTCTAAATAATGTCATATTGGAGGCTAGGGCTTCAATGTATGAATTTAGAGAGGGACACAATTTAGTTCATAGCAGTGCTATAATAATTTTTGGTGACTTTGGAGACTTCCCAGAAGAGAGTAGTTTTTCCTTAAATTTTGTGTCTGACCTTATTTACCAGGTTTTTAAAAATAAAATCTCCAGATGTTATAGTAACAACTTCCAGACACCACAGCCTTCTCTCACAGATTGTTATGTTGGCTTCAATAAAGTCTTCCCCTTTCCCTGTTTCATACCTCTCATCTTCCAGGTGCCCTTTCATCGTCTCATTATCACATAAGTTTTAGTATGGGCTTTTTTTTTTTTTTTTGCAGGTGGAGACCACGTGGCTTTGCAAGGCCAGAGTTAATGAAGATTTTACATAATTCACTGGATGATTCCTTTAAACGCCTTATTTATCCTCTCCTCTGTAGAGATTTCAGGTATGCATCTTGTCTTGTTTAATTCTGTAAACTGTTTATTATGTATGGCACTGGTCCAATTAACGCATATAGTAAATATTTGTTGATTGATTAAGCCAAAGAACTTAGAATCTCAAAGTCTTAAATTTAATCCTTGGTTTCAATCTAAAGATACATTTACATGCATAGATCTTAAAATGTTCTTAATTGTGATATACTCAAATCTTGACCTGTTAATGCATACCCCTCCCACTTCTGCAATACTTGCCTTGCAATTTGACAACCAAACAATTAGTTTTATTAATTAGAGATTTAGCTTGGAAGAAACAAACTGGAGAAGTTACTTTGTGGCATTTTTTAGAAGAAAGCCAAAGAAAACATAAGGAAGATAGTAGAGAGTATGAGTTTATTATTATAAAGAGAGAAAGCTAATACATGTTTTAAAATCTCCAGATGGGAATTGTGTGGATGAAAATTATCAGCATTGATGAACAGATATCAGGAGATTATTGAAATAACCATGTCAGTGAATTAGCAGAAGTTCTAATAGTAATGAAGGTGAAAACTACAAAAGAGATGAAGTGAAGATGGGAGAAGATGGAAAGAAAAGAAATACAGGAAAGCGAAAGTCTTCTTTCCTGGTACTCTCTAGTCTTTGTCTTGGTACTTACTTTTTAGAAAGTGGCTATTTCCTTGTATAGTATTCCTATCTGCGGTAGATTTGCTGCATTTTAAAATTTTTAGGCTTCAGCAAAGACTACCTGAGCACTGTGGAGTTCTAGCCATCTCCTCGTCCTCACTAGAATTTCTAGCAGACTAGGTAGTGTTTGTTCTTCTTTTGCTGAGCTCGGCTATTGAATTCAGAGGTGTTCAGAGCAGGGAATGAGCAGATACTATTAAAAACATATGTAACTCCATTGTCCACTTTCTGTTTATCAGCAATATTCATTTTCTTGTTTGATCTTTTTTTTTTTTTTTTTTAATCTTTTTTTGGTGATACTGGGGATTGAACTCAGGGCCTTTGCACTGAGTTACAACCTCAGCCTTCTTTATTTTGAGAAACAGTCTCACCAAGTTGTTAAAATGCCCAGGCTGAGCTCGAACTCAGCCTCCCAGAAGGCTGGGATTATAGGCATGCACCACCACACCTGACTTCTCTGGTCATTTTTAGCCTAGATGTCCGCTAAAAATTTTGTTCCTTTTCAAATTTTATTTCAAGTCTGAAGTAACATCTCTTGAGTTTGAGTGCGAGGGCATACACTTTAAGAGGTTCTGTTTGTAGTGAAAATTTACTTAAAATTTCAATTCCTTTTTATATATTTATTCTTATCTTGGTTTTCATTTTCATATAATGTCCAGTTGTGTATTTAACATTTTTGCATATATTTTATTTGAATGGCTTTGCTTCATGTAGAATAATTTCATTCAGGTCAAATGTAAGAGTTTAGTGTGGGATTGTTTAATATGTAATCCTTTTTTGGTTTCTATTGGAAATGGCGAAGCAATAGCAGTTTACTTCTCTTTTTCTTAAATGCCTGTGGTTCAAACAATACAACTTATTTCAGTTCCTTAGTTTGCAGGTGTTGTCTCAAGATGAGTCTCTTGGTAGAAATACTTATTTGAACAGCAGTTGAGGAGAGGAGTCCCCATTGGTTTTATTTTTCTAGTTGAAAATAAATTTTTCTGGTATGTTGAAAAATAGAATCAGTAATGCACAAAGGAAAAAAACCCCTGTAATTGCAATTAGTTTTCTCTTTTCCTGTATGTGTATTAAGAGATTATATAGATGATTATTTTGCATTTCTTACCTCCCATGACTGTCATGATCATTTATCCATGTGTCATTTTTCACATCTATTTCTCTCATCAATTCTTCCTTGTCAGTTACCGAGTGCTTTCTAGTTTGCTATCTTTTATTATATTTTAAATTGTTCCTCTGTATCTCCATGGTTACTGTCTTAGTTCAGAATATCATCATTTCTTTCTTGATTACTGTACTATAGACATAGAAGATCTCTGCCTTCTGTCTTGTCTTTTCCAGTATAGAGTCTACATCGCCCTTTCAACATTCTCATTTCATTGTTTGATGCTTGTCTACTTAAAATACCTCTGTGGATCTTCTTTTTCTTCAAGATAAAATCCAATTTCTTTAGAGGAACATATATGACCAACTCTGTGTGATCTAACTTTTTCTTGTCTCTGCAATTTTTATGTCTTTGTTATTTGTTTTTTACTTTAGCACATGAAATTACTTACTTTTTCTATAGCGAGCCATGGACCTTTATATACTGCTTCCTGTGTCTGAGGTATCTTTTCCCTGCCTTCCATCTTACGGTCCCCACCTTTGTTTGCTTATTAGTTTTCTTTTTTGATTTAGCTGAGAAGACATCTTTTCTAGAAAGTTTTCCTAATTTAGCTGTCCCTCTCATGAGTTCCCTTCATATCACTGCTTTTGACTTGCCTGGTTTTTTTTTTCTTTCTTTGTTCCACTAGACACTGTGATATTCAGGCAAGTATTTTATCTTTTCAGCTTTGTATCTTATATCGTTTATGGTACCTTGTGTCAGACTGTCAGCAAATGCTTCCAAATAAATAAAGTTAAGAATGAAGATTTAGAAATACCTTCAGTGAGACTTTTTATCTTGTTTGGATGTGAGATTGTGATAGTGAAGTGTTAGAGAAGATGAGAGAAAATCCTTAGCAACTAATCTCGAGACGTAGTTGTGTGTATTTTTGTGTATATAGAAATTCTAGGCTGCCTCCTGCCTGCCTGCCATGGACTATTTCCCCTCTTTGATGCCCCTCTGCCATGCTGCCCTGCCTTGAAGCCAGTCGGCTATGCACTGAAACATCTATAAACTTTCTTCACCAATGGACATGGATGAAAATGAAAGTAACGAGTCAGGGATGACAAGCGGCCAGTGTCCCGATGATGCAGTACAAAAAGGACAAAATTCAGCACGGGATTCTGGTGAAAGTGGTTCTTCTAAGTTGTCCAAGAAAAGCTTCAAGCTGGATTACAGACTAGAGGAAGATGTAACTAAATCAAAGAAGGGCAAAGATGGGAGGTTTGTTAACCCGTGGACCACATGGAGGAATCCGTCCTTTTCCAACACTCTCAAGTGGCTGATCATGGAGAAGAATCACAGCAGTGTTCTGAGCTGCAAAGAGGAACTTGACAAAGAGCTCCCAGTGCTTAAACCCTATTTTATTGATGACCCTGGAGAAGCCGGAGTGTGGGAGGCAGGCTTATGGGTCACCTGGCTGGGCCACGTGACACTGCTGATCGAAATGGATAAGCTCATCTTCCTCACAGATCCCATCTTCAGCTGTCTTGCGCCTCTCCATTCCAGTACCTGGGTGCAAAGCGGTTTCGTCCTCCCCCGTGGACGATAGAGGAACTCTCCCCGATAAATGCCATCCTCATCAGTCACAACCACTATGACCACGTTGCCTTGAACAAGTGATTTGGAAATGAACTGAGGTGGTTCGTGCCTTTGGGTCTCCTTGACTGGATGCAGAAGTGTGGCTGTGAGAACGTCATTGAGCTGAACTGGTGGAAGGAGAATTGTGTCCCTGGCCACTACAAGGTCACCTTTGTCTTTACGCCTTCGCAGCACTGGTGCAAAAGGACTCTCATGGATGACAACAAGGTTCTATGGGGCAGCTGGTCTGTCTTGGGGCCTTGGAATCGGTTTTTTTTTTGCAGGAGATACTGGTTATTGCTCTGCGTTTGAAGAGATAGAAAAGAGATTTGGACCTTTTGACCTTGCAGCTATTCCCATTGGCGCTTACGAGCCAAGGTGGTTTATGAAATACCAGCGTGTAAACCCAGAAGAAGCCGTAAGGATTCACATTGACGTTCAAGCAAAGAAATCTGTGGCCGTTCACTGGGGAACTTTTGCCTTAGCATATGAGCATTACTTAGAGCCTCCAGTGAAACTGAGTGAAGCTTTGGAAAGATATGGACTTAGGACTGAAGATTTTTTTGTCTTGAAGCATGGAGAATCAAGGTACTTAAATACTGATAATTAAAACTCTGAATAAAGATGAGCACAGAAGCTTTTAATGAAAAAGGCATCATTTGATATAAATTGGAAAACAAATGAAAAGACTAAGAAATTCCTGAGTGTTAAAGACTTTTTCATTAGCAAACAGCTCCTGCAAGTGTGTTTTATGTTTTATGTAATAACTTGCTTACCAGTGTGATGACCAGCTTATGAAAACTATGAAGGTAGTTCAGGGGTGGGTCATTTAAATAATGAGTTGGCCAATGTGGATATAGAAATATATCAGTGGTATAAGCATTTCAGTAGACAGTTTTTAACTAAAGCACTATACTTTAGTGGTTGTAGAATTTTCTGAGGTTATGAAAAACTGCTATTAAAGACCCATCTGTTTTTCTCTTTAGGGCCTTCAAGGTAAGTCAAGGCTGTCTCCTCACATCTTTTCAGAGGCCTACACACACATCTAATATTCACATTGTAGTAAGTGATACAGTTGACTCCCACATGCTTATAAACATAGCATTTCTTGCTCTGTCATGATTAGCTTACATGCCAAATGTTAGGTGATGTACTTTGGTAAGCATAAAAACATAGATGTTTGGGCTAAATTACCATTTTTAAATGGTAATACTACTTTTTCTGATGAAATATACCTAACATAAACTTTATTTTAACCATGTAAAAAATGTAGTTTTTTGGCATTAAGTATATTCACATTCTTATGCACTCATGACTACCATGACTTAAAAGTTTTAAAAGAGGGGAACAGTATATTCTATTGCACATTAATGATCCCCAAATTAAAAGCTAACTGATCTGGGCAGAGGAAGGGAAAGGGTATGGTGATGAGAACATGATTTATGAAATTTTCTATTTTTAATATGAAACACCTGCTAAGCACAAATATAGCTGTAATTAAGTATTTCAGAGAAGATAAGTGTAGATTTTACATGTGACAATACACTTTGACTTACTTTCTTCATTTCCCATTTTCTTTATATACACATTTTTCTGGTTTGCTAGCACTAATCCCGATTTGTTTTATAAATATTTTGTTTTATATGATTAAGATGTCATATATTTTTGTATCAAATGACCTCTAAGTATGATAGTACCTTTGTGGAATACAAGTGATTGTTAAAATAAGATTTTGGGTGTCAGCTGGGTTGAGTTTTAGGGTTAATAAGGCTCTGTATTCATTTGATTGCTCTAAACCAGCTGTGCATGGTGGCACATGCCTGTAATCCCAGAACTCTGGAAGGCTGAGGCAGGAGGATCACCAGGGAGGTGTGTTAGATGCTATTAGAGGGCCATTCCATGCTCCGGTTCCATAGGCTTAGTGAAGTACTTTATTCACACAAAATAACACTTTTTCTAAACCAAATGTTACCTAGGCATTGTTCTGTAATTGGATTTGCACGGATGCATGCATGACACATTAACCACTGAATCTGAATTTTAATTTTCATCGTTTCATCTTGAATTTTCTTTGTAGCCTGAAAAGTCACTATGCTCACTGTGCCTCTTCCTCATGTGCAACAAGAGGGTAATTTTGACCTACCTCCAAAATGTGTAAAATTAATAGAGATTTTTAAAAAGCAAAAAAAAAAAAAAGAAATTCTACCTCAACCCTGATGTGCAGTGTGCTTTAAATTATTTTAATTATTTTAATTTTTTTCCCCTGGGCAATGGCTTATGTTTTTTACTTGGCTTAATAAAGAAGATATACTTTTTATAAATTCTAATGAATTTCAGGCCCTAATATGTTAAGAGCTTCTTTAAGTAGATGAGTGCCTAAAACTTGTTTGCTAAATGCCTTTAAATACATAGTAGACCTAATTTTATCTTACAAAAATTTTTTGTTTTGCTTTGTTTTGTTTTTCTTTTGGTACCGGGGATTGAATTTAGGACCTTGCGCTTGCAAGGTGGGCATAGTCCCACTGAGCTAAATCCCCGGACCATATCTTACAAGTTTTTACAAATATACTTTTAGTAACATCTCTGGGTAAAACTGGGAAGATGTTTATATGAGGCATGGTTCTGGGCTGAGTGTTAATATCTGTGGTCATGTTGTGTCACTGTGAGAATGACAGGTGAAATAGAGATGAGGACGTTGAGATATTTATAGGTGAAGGTATAAAATTAAATATTGTTAAACTACCTATCATTCAGTAATTTATCATTTTAATTTGTGTTTATATTTTTAATTATTTGATAAATATTAATTTGGGTTTCACATCCCATATGACATCCAAATCTTTATTTTTTTTTCTTTCTCATACACACATGTGTGTGCACACACACAATTCTACATACAGCTTTTATATATAGTAGTGAGCAGAAGGTAGGTATGACAAACATATCAGGTTTGCTTCAGAATTGTTTTTGGTGATTAGCTAAAGTAGACTCAATATAGGTTTTTTTTTTGGTACCGGGGATTGAACTCAGGACCTCACGCTTGCCAGGCAGATGCTATGCTGCTGAGCTACATCCCCAGCTTAATATAATTTTTATGTGATCTTTTTCTTCTTTTTTTTAAAAAAATAACTTTGTTATCAAACACACACACACATACAAAAATTAAAACCATTCAAAGAAGAACAATGCAAGGAATAAAAACTACAATAATATTCAAATATAGTAGAACTCAACCAAAACAAAACTGAAAAAGCACTTAAACATTTTTCCACATAACTTATAAAAGCATCTCAAGCACCAACAAGACACCAGAGGATGTGATTTGTTTCAGAAAGATCCCCAAAAGCAACATTGAACAAATAGTGTTCTGGAAAATAACTCCAGTTAGCTAGCAGACTCCACATAAGCCAAGCTTTTTTCTAATTTAAATTTTGTTACAGTCATATGACATGCGATGGAAACACAATCCGAGAAATATGTTATTAGGCCATTCCATCCGTCTGTATCCTTTATTACACTTTCAGTTTCTCACACTAGAGAAACTATTCGGTATTTTTGTTCTATTAAATGTTTCTGTGAGGAATATTGAACAAAATATGTTCTGCTTTTTTTCTGGAAAAACAATGTGGATGAATGAAAAGCTAAGTACTATTTCTTATTCTTTTTCTTCTTCTTCTATTTCTAAAGAGCCAAACTGACATCAGATGCAGAGAAGGAATCAGTAATGATGTTTGGACGGAACCTTCGTCAACTCCTTTTAACAAGCCCTGTCCCAGGGCGCACCTTGATGGGAGTAGATCCTGGTTACAAACACGGTTGCAAATTAGCTATAATTTCTCCTACCAGTAAGTTCTCTTTTAGTTTTTCATATAACAGTCATAAGTTTCACTTTATAGATTTCATGAGGATTTGGAAATAATGTTAAATTTTGAAGCTTTTTCATAGGGATATGGGAACCAGAAAATCAAACATCAGATTTCCCTTTTCTTGATCAAAAAACTGAACATATGACCATCATTTATTGCTTTCCCTATGTCTCAGTAGAGATACTGGAGATTTAACTAGGATTAGACTTGAACTCTGCTACTTCCCATTAATTTTGTTTATTGTGATGTATTTGCATATACTTTAATTCTATATATATTTTTAATACCAAAAAATATTTTTATTTTGTCCAATCAATATTTTTCTATTTACTTGTGTATTTACCCTTCCTATTAGTTTTCTTTCTGCATTTCTTTGTTTCTGTTTGAAAACATTTTATTTCTGTCTTGAAAATCTCTTTGCTTTCACTCTTTTTTTGGTACCGGAGTTTGAACTAGGGACCTTGTGCTTGCGAGGCAGGTGGTGGCACCACTGAGCTAAATCCCTGGCCCTACTTTTGCTTTTAATGTGGGTCAGCTGATGAGAAATTGTCTCTATTTTTGTTTGTCTGAAAAAGTCTCTCTTTTTCCTTCATTTTTGAAGCTATTTTTGTGATAGTACTGGGGATTGAACAAATTCGGGGCCTTGCTCATGGTAGGCAAGTATTCTACCACCGAGCTGTATTCCTAGCCACTGAAAAATATTTTTAATGGGTATAGAATTGGAGATAGGTAGTTACTTATATCATTCCATTTTTATTTTACTTTTTCTGGCTACATTTTTTGTTGATAAGTTAGCCAAAACATTGTTCATTTTGAAAGTAATATGTCTTTTCCTGACTGCTAAGATTTGCTTTATGCTTTTTTTGAGAAGTTTTCTTATGATGTGCTTGTGTGTCTGTGCGTGTGTTGACACGAATTTCACGTGGCACTTTTAGCGTCACTTTCTATAAAAAGTATATTATGTATCTGTTAGATCTTTCAGTTTCTTCTATTTTCTGTTGTTTTATTTTCTATTGATTGTCTAAGTTTATTGTTTTATCTGCTATATCTAATTTACTATTAAGCCTATCGAATTTTTTAATTGTTACTGTTTTTCAGTTTTAGAATTTCATTTGATACTTAACAAAATAAATTGTAGTTCCTTGGTGAACTTCATCTTTTAGTAATTAAAAAATTAAATCTTTAAAATTTTTCTTCCTTTTATCTTATTTTTCTTAGGACCTTTACTATTATACTTATGTGTTCTTGTCTTTCTTTTGGTTTAGATTTTTACTTGTGAACTATTTTTTCATTTCATATTGAATTCTCAATTTATATAATTCCAGAGGTTTTCTAATTCTGTTGTTTGTTATTCTCATTTTCTATAATGGTTGTCTGTAAAGCTTGTTTTCATTTATTAGGTTCTGTTTTGTGGGCACATCTTTCTGTAAGGACATTATACTAGGTTTAAAAAAAAAATTCCTGTCTTAAAAAATCATCCTGAGTAGAATTAGGCCATTATTCTTTTGATTGGTTTTACGTAAAATTACTTTTTCCCAACTCTTGAGAGGACATACTGGGCTAAGAAAGGGTTTCTCACTTTTTGACTTTAGAATATTCCCTTCTACTTTCCCCAAAGTTTTGAAAAAATAAGCACAATTCTTATGGATAGAGAGATAGTCTTATACTTCTTGGAATCTGCTTCTATGCCTCTTGTATGTGGGCTTTTTTCTCTTTTGTTTATACTCTCTTTATCTTGACCATTTTGGATGTTATTCCCAGCAGTTTCTCCTCAAAAGAGATCTTTCTTTTAGTTTCAGGAGTTAGGGATCAGAGTTTTCTAGTCTTTCAGAACTTACTGGGCAACCTGAATTTCCCCCAGTTTCAGTTCTTGTTCTCAAGCTAATTGTTGTAATTTCCAAAGAAGTATTTTTTGACGTTTTGGGGATTCTTCCATTCTCAGGGCCATCACATACTCTGTTTCTTCTCTCTGCTTCTCTTGGCTTCCTCTCCACATGCCAGTGGGTCTGTTAGCTGTCAGTGCGTTATTCCCACTTGCTCAGGTTTTAGGTTTTGTGAGGTGTTTTGTTACCTTTGTTATAGTCATGAACTTTTGCTTTATTACTCTAGTTGTGCCATTCATTTCTATAATAAGTGGGATATGTTTTATCATTTATTCCTGCACCTATTGAGATATTATATGGCTTTTTATCCTTTATTGTGTTACTGTGATGAATTATATTCTTTAGGCTTTAAAAAATGTCAAATTACACTTTCTTTAGATAAATTCAACATGGTCACAGTACTACAATACTTTCTTCTGGATATGTTGGTAGTTCAGTTTTCAGTATTGTGTTGCTTATAGGATAATTCTTTTTAAAATATTAAACACATACATGTACTTAGTCTGTGTTGATAACATTTTTCTAGGAATTTGTTTCATCATTTAACTTAACATAATTAATAGTTTTTTTTTAATCTGTGCTCTATCTCTAATTATATACTCTTCTTCTCTAGTATATTTGTGTCTTCTATTGTTTTTTTTTTTTTTTTTTTGGTAGCAGGGATCCAACTCGGGTCCTTGGGTTTGCAAGGCAGGCAACAGAACCACTGAGCTAAATCCCCGGCCCTGTGTCTTCTGTTCTTGATTAGCATTGCTGAAAGTATGTGTTTTCTAAGTAATTTTTAACTTTAAATTTTCTTTTATTTTCTGAGTCAGGATCTTACTCTGTAGTTCAGGGTGGCCTTGAACTCACTATATGGCCCAGGTTGGCCTCAAATTTGTGGCAATCCTCCTGCCTCAGCCTCTTGAGTGCTGGGAATACAGGTATGTGCCACCATGTCCAACTTTCTTTAAATTTTATTAGGCTTTTCTGTTGTGTCCACCTCTCCCCATTTCATTAATTTCTGTTTTTAAGTATCATTTTTTACCTCTGTTTTCTTTGAGTTTATTTTGTTGTTCATTTCCTAATTTAGTAAGTTACTTACTTAGCTCTTTTTTTGTTTGGTACGAGAGATTGAACTCAGGACCTTGTGCTTGTGAGGCAGGCACAGTGTCACTGACCTAAATCCCTGGCCCTTAACTCATTTATTTTTATTCTTTAAGTGATTATCCTCAAATTCTTATAAATAATTTTAATTAAAAATAAAATATTTTCTGTATAAAACAATGCTGAAAAGATTTCAATTCTTTTATTGGTACATTTTAGGTATACAGTACATTTACATTTATCATTGGGTGCTTGTACCTGTAGATAATGTATCTTAGTTCTTATTTTTTTCCCCATTACCTGTGCACCCTTCACCCCCTCCAACCTTCCCTATTTACATAGATTTCATTTCCATTTTTTTTTCTTTTCTCATAATTTTTTCTTTCCTTTCTTCCCTTTCCCCTTCTCCTCCCACCACCCCTACACCTTTGGACCTTTTCCTATTTCAAATTATGAATTATTCATTTTAATCATTTTAATCCTTATTTACACTTTCAGTTTCTCACACTAGAGAAACTATTTGGTATTTACACATGTGTGTCCTATTTATTTCACTTAGGAGGATGGTCTCAATATGCATCCATTTAGCTATAAATGTCTCTAGTTTCTCATTCTTTATGGCTGAGTAGTACTCCATTTTATTAAAAAACCACATCTTCTTTATCCAGTTTCCAGTTGATGGGCACTTGGGCTGCTTCCAAGCTTTAGCTATTACAAACTGTGCCGCTATCAACATGGGTGCATGCATATTGCTGTGGTATGAATCTTTTAATTCTTTGGGGAAGACACCCAGCAGGAGAATAGCTGGGTCAGATGGGACCTCTAGTCCTAGTTCTTTGAGGTATCTCCATACGGATTTCCACAGTGGTTGCACCTGTCTGCACTCCCACCAACAATGGAGAAGGGTTCCTTTCTCTCCACACCCCTACCAGCATTTGTTATTGGTTGATTTCTTGATAGCAGCCATTCTTTCTGGGGTGAGATGGAATCTCGGTGTTGTTTTCATCTGCATCTCTCGAATGACCAGTGATGTTGAACATTTTTTCATATATTTATTTGCTGCCTTTACTTCTTTGCCTGAGAAATGTCTGTTCATTTCAGATGACCATTTTTGAATTGAGTCTTTGAATTTGGGGGGGGGTCTGATTTTTTCCAATTTTTTATATATTCTCGATAGTAGACCTTTGTCTGAGGTACAGCTGCTAAAATTTTTTTCCCACATTGTAGGTTGTCTCTTAGCTCTGTTGGTGGTTTCTCTTGCAGTGCAGAAGCCTTTTAATAAGATGAGATCCCAGTTGTTGATTCTTTGTGCTAGTTCCTGTGCTACTGAGGTTTTGTTCATAAAGTCTTTTCCTATGCCAATGTCTTAAGATTTCAATTCTTTAACATACAGCTCAAAGAATTACACAAAGTAAATTCATTTATCTACAACTGAAAAGAAGAAAAAGAATAGTATCACAAGTGTTTGATATTTAGCACACATTCAGTAAATGTTAGCTACACTATTACTGATGTTAGGTGTTACTGAAAACCATTTCTTTTTTAGATTGTCATGGAATAGTATACAGTTAATAATAGTTTTAAGAAGCAAAATGGACTCCTTGACACTTTGAAAGTAACATTGCTTCAGAGTCCATATTTGATCTAGGGAATGATTCAGATTGTGTTTTGAAAGATAAGCCAATCCCATTTTTTATTAAAATTTGCTTATTCCGAACATTGGTGAATTATATTTTGTAATTTCTTAAAAATTGCTTATTTTTTTCCATGTTTTTAAAGGTCAGATACTTCATACTGATGTGGTTTACCTGCATTGTGGACAAGGTTTCCGAGAGGCAGAGAAGATAAAGAGACTTTTGCTGAATTTCAAGTATGTAAATAAGTAATCTTTTGAGTAGTTCAGTGGCTCAGCCAATCAGAAATAACTCCAAAGCCCCAAAGTTGGAGGGGGGATTGAGGGAGGTGCTTTGGTGAGAGAAAAGGAACCTTGTAAAGCTCTCCTGGGGCAAAGTACTGCAAAACTGTACCCTGGAGAAGCATTGTTCCCTTTCTGTGCCACCTTCACAAAGAGGGGTGGTGATGTGGGCAAATGTGAGCATTTATTTCTTCTCTTTGACCGACCATCTGACCTGCCCTCCTTTCCTTCTTTTTTTCCTCTTTCTCTTCCTCCTCTGGGGGATGGGTGTGCTAGTAGTTAGAAATTTCAAAAATTGCCAACATAACTTATGTCTTTATACATAATGTCTTTATTTCTGTTCATAATGTTCCAGATTTTACTTTTTCTTTTTTTCTCATTTTGGCAGTTTTTAATTAACCTTTTATTTAAGAGGACTTTATTCCTGCATCATCTCAGTTGTTTCTTCTTTGTATTTGCCCTTTTCCTTTTCTACTTGGAGAGATTTGGCTCTCTGTTCCAGGATCTTTTTGTGGTGTTTGTCTTCAGCCTGGTGATAACTACCTTGCTGTGGTGAATGCCCACATGGACAGTTGTGCCATTTGTCTTTTCCTGCTGCACCTGTTCAGTGTGGATGATGTGTTTCTTTCCGTAAACCTGGACTGTTTTGCCAATCTGCTGGTCTTTATAGTGTCCTTGCACAACCTGAACCCATCATCCTCTTGGGCATAGATGTACTTCCGCATTGTACTTCCACCTCCACTCTGGAAAGATGGGAAGACACAATCTTCCTGCAAATGTAGGGAGGTAGATTGAAATGCCTTTTACAGTTCTTTCTTCAGTCTGAAGTCACAAAAAGATTGAATTTCATTTTGGCTCTGCAGCTCCAGTGATGATCACAAAAGGGTTTATTCTTTATGATAGGTATAATTTTGGTTCCTTGTAGATGGTAGTGAAGCAGACTGACTGTTCTTGAAATTGTACAACAGTGTACTATTTCTCCACTGCATTCCAAATGCAAGGCATTGTCTTTTTATTTTACGTATGTCTTTTTCCCTTGTGAAATAATGGAGAGGTTGCTTGGATGTATGAGAGAATAAAAGCATTATACAATAGTATTTGTGCATTCTGTACACTTCCTCTGGTTGATTTCAGAGCATGCCTTGAGCTCATCCGGTTTCTCATTCTGTTTCTCCCTTGAAGCTGCAGCACAGTGGTGATTGGAAATGGAACTGCCTGCCGGGAAACTGAAGCTTACTTTGCTGACCTGATAATGAAAAATTACTTTGCCCCACTGGATGTTGTTTACTGGTAAGGATGTTAGGAATATTTGTTTTCTTGGAGAGGTATGGTAACTTCTGAAGTTTCTTTGGTGATGAATTCTCTTTTTTCTTTTTAAGATATGTGTCTTGTTTTCTCCCCACGCTACCTCTTGCTGATAAGAGCTTCACAGGATGATCTAAATTGTCTTGTCTTGTGGAGAGATTTAGGACAGGAATGATAAGAGAAGAACAAGGTCCTGAAAACCCTCACAGAGGTAGTCTGTGGGGCCTTACTCATTTTTGTGGGATTTTTCAGACTGTATGTGTATTGGGTGAGGGCCCTCATTAAGTGTTGACTGCTAAGTAGTTTGATCCATCAGGCTAGCAGATATGGATAGATTGGATAACTTCACCTTCTCCCCAGAGTTTTTTAGCCTGTGTATCATTGCCCTTCAGAACAGAGAGCCAAAGTAAGTATTATAAATTAAAAAGTATTTCTGATGCCCTATTCTCATTTGTCTCCTGGTTACAAGGTTTCATTTTATACAGGTATACAGGTAACTTCTGCATAGCTGTGGATTAGCATGACCAAGTTTATGCCTGCCCTTCCATCTGTAGGAGTTCTGTTTTCATTTTCCATTGTTGCCCTACTTTCTGTTTGGACCTCAAATAGTTGATTCTACCTTTTCCAAACTATAGTGGGATAGTAAGCCTTGAAAGGTTTGGTTCTAGGAGAGGGTAGTTATAGTGGGTGATAATTTAGTGAGGGGCAGGTATTTAGTATAGTATTTTATGTGGTGAGAATATATTCAGAATAAGTCAGGAAACTAAACTGAGGGTAACCATAGAGGATTAGGAGAAGGTCATACAAACTCTAGGTGCCATGGGAATGTGTTTCCCAAAAGGACCAAATTGAAAAGTCCCCCTGAGCTCTTTCCCTTCTCCCTCTTCTGTTCCCTCTCCCTTTCTGTTTCCTCTTCTAGCTGGCCTGGGGAATATTGTGGATTTTCCCTGTTCTAGGAATTACAAACCTGCATCCAGTCCTTTTGAGAACCTAATACAAGCCCTTAACAGAACTGATTGTTTATTTCAAGCGATGCTTCTGACTTTTTTTTTTTTTTTGGTACCGGGGATCGAACTCCTCGGGTCCTTGCGCTTGCACAGCAGGCGTCGAAACCACTGAGCTAAATCCCCGGCCTGCTTCTGATCTTTTTATTACTAGTTCACATTAATTTGATATAAATATCTTCTGTACATTTGTAGCGATTGCAAATGCAACTTTCTTTTTTTTGGTACCGGGGATCGAACTCGGGTCCTTGCTCTTGCGCAGCAGGCGGTGAAACCACTGAGCTAAATTCCCAGCCTGCAACTTTCTAATAATAAAACATATTTAGTGAAAATATGCCCAGTTTCACCTGAAATTGCTGTAGAGTGTCCCTTTATTGAACTTTATTTATTTATTTATTTTGGTACTGAGGATCGAACTCGGGTCCTTGCGCTTGCACAGTAGGTGGTGAAACCACTGAGCTAAATCCCCGGCCCTATTGAACTTTAGATAGTGCACAAGAAGGGATGAGCCACAGAGTCAGACAAATCTGGATTCATGTTTTGATTTCATCGTTTGCTCTTTATGCATTTAGAAGAATTTCTTAGCTTCTCTTATCTTCACTTTCCCCCTCATCTTTAAATGAAGAAAAGAATACCTACCTCATAGGAGTTTTAGGAATATTAAATGTAAAATAACATATAGTAGGGCAAAATAGCAAATTTTTAATAAACAATACAGTGTTTGTGTATATTAGAATGTATTTCTATGTATATTTTTACCTTGTTATAAATATAATTTGTATGTATTTATAATTATTGTGAAATTAGTTAAAGATAGTGTCATCTTGGGCAAATTTATAGTTATATAAGCATATACATTTGTTGCAAATGATTTTCCCAGTTTTCCTTCTGGCTTTAAATATGACCAAGAGTATATAAATAAATCCACAGGACAGCAGAGGAAGAAAATTATGTAATTATAAAATAGGCAGAAGACTGTTTTCTAAATATGCTATATAAAGAGCTCTTAGAAATCAATAATAAAAAGAACAATGAACTATTACAAAGAGTACAGATCATAAAAGATTAAAAATGACTTCTCAATACTGTGTATGAAAAGATTTTTATCATTCACAATGAAAGAAATACAGATCAAAACTTTAAAAAGATACCATGTTTTACCTATGAGATTGGCAGAAATAAAGTTTAGCAACATACTATGTCAGTGTTGGGGCATAGATACTTGAATACATTATAGCGAAAATGCAATTTGTTATAGCTTCTCTGGAACACAATTTGGTAAACTATCAAAATTGTATACTCATGGGCCTTTCACTTCTGGGTAATTGTCCCTTCTAACCTCTTATTTACACAAAATGGCTTGTGCTCAGGAGTATTCTTTATTCACAACTGTTTATAAGTACTGATTTCTATTTCACTAAGTTTAAAAAATGAAGACCAGAGGATAACATTCAGCCTTCTCCCTCCATCCTTTCTGGATTTTAACCTTTCTTGATTTTCCATCTCTTATCTCTCTTCACTGCTTTATGGTTGATTTCTTCAGTTCTTTTCTCCAGTTCACTAGCTTTTCCTTCACCTGTCAAATCCATCCATTGAATTTTTAATTTTGGTTATTATATCTCTGTCTTTTAGAAGTTCTATTTGTTAGTTTTTTAGCTTTATTGAGAGATAATTGACATGAGAAACTGCACATAAAGTCTACCATTTTATGAGTTTTGACACGTGTGCTCCTGTGCAGCTATTATTAAAATCAATATAATGAACATACCTATTACTCTCCTAAATTTCTTTGTGTTGCTTTTAATCCGCCTTTCTCTCTCTACCTCCACCTTCCTCCATGCAACCTCTGCTTTGCTTTCTATAATTATAAAAGGTTATAGTTTGTCTTTTCTACACTTAAATATTATGTAATCATACAGCATATATTGTTTTACTAACATCTTTAACTCAGCATAATTATTTTGAGATTCATCTGTGTTGCAGTGTATACACAATTTGTTCATTTTTTTAACTGACACATACTCTTTTGTACAAGTGTATCATAATTAGTGCATTCATTCACCTGTTGGTGGACATTGGGGTTGTTGCCAGTTTTTTTGCTCTTACGAATAAAGGAACATAAGCATTTGTGGACAAGTCTTTTTGTAAACTTAGGCTTTTGGTTTTTTTTGGTAAATAACCAGATATGGAAAAGCTGTGTTGTGTGACAGGTATTCAATTAACTAAAGAAATTGCCAAAATGTTTTTCAAGGTGGTTGTACCATTTTACATTCCCACCTGCAGAGTGTCATTCTACTTTTTTCATATCTTAATGGAATCATAAAATTATGGCCTTTTATTTGTAGCTATCCTAATGGATGTATAATGCCACCTCATTGTGGTTTTAATCTGTTTTTTCTTAGTAATTAATGGTATGGAGCATCATTATTTGTTTACTTGTCATCTTGTGTCTTCTTTGCTGAAGTATCTGTTTAAATCTTCCTATTTGAAAAAAAGGATTGTTTTCTTTCCTATTATTAAAATAAGAGTATTTTTTATTTGTTCTGAATAGAAGTCCTTTGCCAGGGTAATGTTTGTAAAGAATATACCAGTTTTTAGCTTTTCATTGTTTGTTTGCTTTTGAGGCAGGATCTCAATATGTAGTTCATGTTGTGCTTGAATTCACTATGTAGCTCAGGCTGGCCTGGAACTTGAGGTGATCCTTCTGCCTCAGTCTCTTAAGTGCTGAGATTACAAGTGTGTGGCACCACGCCCAACTTTTTCATTCTTTTTGAAACAGGATCTTTTGAATAGCAAAATATTTTAATTTGGATGAAGTCTTCTTTATCAATTTTTAAATAGCTTTGCTTTTTGCTTTCTATTTAAGAGATGTTTGGCAAAATCAAGGTCACTATAATTTTCTTCTAGGAATTTTATACCTTTAGCTTTCATTTAAGTCCATAATCGTTAAAGAATTTACATCTGTCCATTTAATTTATTTCAGGTATATTTCTCATCTCTAGAAGTTTTCTTTTTCAAATCTGCTTGATTATTCCTGCAGTTTTTGGTTATTCCTGAGCATGTTTTCAAGCTTTTCTTTTATTTCTTTTATTATATTAAGCATTATGTTTTACAGCCATGTGATAGTTTCTCCAAAGTCTATTTCTGCTATCTGTTGTAACTGCTGGTTCAGCTTTATGATGCTTTGTTTCCTCTTCTGTTCAGTTTTTATTATAAACTCTTGATTTTCATGGGAGTTTTTTCTGTGGGAATTCATTGAGGCCTGGACTGATGTAAATTGCTTCAAAGAGGATTTGCATTTGGTTCTGACAGGCTCCTGTAGATACTGTACAACCAATTTGGGGTCATTTAAATTAAATTCTCGGCTTGAGCTTTTTTTCCTGACCACCTAAGTAGTGTGAATTTAGGCTGCAAACTAGAAAGATAGCTTATGGCTCCATGTTCTCATCAGCGATTCTCCCATCAGCCTGTGACAAGGTCTGAGATAGTTCGTATCCATTGTGATCTCCTAGGGTTAGGATGTAGTGAGTTTATTTCTATTTTACCCTTTTACCAAGGGGTTAACCCTTTGGGATCCCAACTTTACACAGATGAGGGTAGGTGGAGAAATCTCTTGTTAATATCTATCTTAGATGGACCTTGGTTTTTGTCTTCTATTTCTCATATTCTGTGAAAACTCTGTGAGACCATGAAGCTGGAAAATAAATAATACTCTGTTTAGCAAATGCTCTTGCCCGAAAGTCAGCTTCATAAGTCAAGGCTCCCATTTATACTGCATTATTTTTACCTTCAGTATTTCTTTTTGCCAAATCACAGATGCATTTAAGAAGATGCAGTAAGTGTATTTAGGACTTTTAGTTGTTTTGAATAATAGATTAACCCAGGTAGGTAATCTGTCATACTACTGGGAAACTGAGGTGGTTAGTACTTTGTTTTTTATTTTAAATTTACTTTAAATTTAAAATTTGTTGTTTTTAGCCA